GGTGGAGGCGGCCGCTCCGAAGTCCAACCCAAAGCTCGCGTTTCTCTTCGACAACGACGCCGCACACGGCGGAGCGGCGCCGGAGAAGCAGGAGCCCGGGTCGGAGGTGCGGGTGACGGACGCCGCCGCAGCAGGAGTCACACACATAGAAGAGGTGAAGCAAGAACCCATAGAAAACCCATGTAAGCTGGATGACTCGGGCAGTGCCGCAGCAACCAGCGCTGCGCCAGCGGCGCCGTCGCGACGCGCGATGACGATCGCCAAGAGCGTAAAGCTGCAGCGCAAGCTGCAGGACTTCCCATATGACAAAACGGGCATCTCTGCAGCTGTGGAGAATGCAGAGGCGCTGGCCACAAACGATGCCTCATTGAACTCTGCGAAGGTTCAGGTGGACGTGAAAGAGGCGCGGCAACCACGCACTGACGACGTCACGGTGCCGCAATCTCCCACAGCACCTACCGACAACACGCAGCACGAAATCAGTGGGGCAGAGCGGCATGAACACCCTGCGGATAACGCTTCGAAAGTTCCAAGCGAGGAGTTTAAACAGGAGCCTGCTGCCGTGATGTCAAAATCACTCAAACGCAGTCGCTACCTCAAAACCTGCGAGGCAGCGACACAGTCCCTGATAACAGGGGAAACGCACGCACAGCCTCATGGCGAGGAGGAGACGACAGTGAGAACAGCAGTTGTGACGAAACCAAAGCTGGACTTGGCACAACAACCGCAAGTGTGTAACGACCAGCCCATGCCCCCACATGTCTTGGATCAAATCCGGGCGGTTGGCAACACAAAAACTGCCGCCATCTCACGTCACGCATTTACAAAACTGACTGGTATAAGGCGGAATAAGAAACTCCTGGCCAAAAAAACAGCTATGCAGGAGGAGGCGGAGAATACGGCAGCACCTAAGGGAGCTGAGGAAGAGGCTGGGCGCAGGAGGGCTGCAGAGGAAGAGGCTGAGCGAAGGAGGGTTGCAGAGGAAGAAGCTGAGCGAAGGAGGGTTGCAGAGGAAGGAACTGAGCGCAAGAGAGTTGAAGAGGAGGCTGCACGGAAGAAAACAAAAAGGGATGCATACAGGAAGGCAAGAGAAGAAGCGGCAAGAAAGAAAGCTGAAGAGGAAGCGGCTCGCAGAAAAGCCAGAAGAGAGGCGCGAGAGCGGGCAAGG